AGCAAAACCAACTGAAAGACATCTTTACCTCTTCTTCCTTTAATGTTTGCGTGGTATGTAAAATGTTAGAAGTAATGGTAAGGAGACAAAAGCAAGTCACAACTGGAAGATGACAATGATGTAGGATTGTTGTTGTATGCCTTCACGTCATTTCTGACTCGTGGCAACCCTAAGGTGAACCTATCACTGAGTTTTCTTGGCAGGATTTGTTCAGAAGAGGTTTACCCTTGCCTTCCTCTGAGGCTGAGAAGGTGTGACTTGCCCAAGGTCACTCACTGGGTTTCTATGGCCAAGTGGAGAATCGAACCCTGGTCTCCAGAGTCATAGTCCAATGGTGCCCCATCCTCTCCCATTGCCTGGCCCTCTGTTCCCATGCTGAGCAGGCTGTCTGCACATGTGTTCTGTTGAGCCGCTTGTCATGAGTTGCTTGCTTTTGAGGTCAGAACGAGGCGCCCAGCGATGATCACGCAACTGATCATGTGGGATCAACTGGCACATGGTAGATGCATAGGGTGGCTCAGCAGGACATGCATGCAGGGAGCCACTCCAGCATGGGAACAGGGGGCTCTGGATATTCTCGGAAGATCCAGAGTAAGAGGTAACATTTTTAAAATTTCATATTGAGGGTGCTACACCCAATCTCCCTGGAAGCCAAGATGATTAAATTGAGACTGTCATACTTTGGCCACATCATGAGAAGGCACAATTCATTAGAAAATATAATCATGCTAGGAACGGTGGAGAGATGAAGAAAGAGAGGAGGACTGCATGCTAGATGGATGGACTCTATTAAGGAGGTAACTGGTATGAAGTTATAGGATCTAAGCAGAGCAATGGAGGATAGAGAGTCTTGGAGATGTCTCATCCACAGGGTCACCATGAGTCAAGATTGACTCGGAGGTGGTTAACAAAAACAACAAACCCCAGTTCTGATACTGAATGTGCCAGATGTTATCCAGACTTTTCACACCAGAACCATGATTTGGGTGGTGCATCATCTGAACAAGACACCACCAGAACAAAGGGGAAACATGCCTCTTGGCTCATGCAAACAAGGTCTATCCACCTGTAATGTGGTCTTCCTTTTTGCCAACTGTCTTCCACCTTACCAAGCATTATTATCTCCCATACACTACAGGCTTTCAAATGAGCTTGACATACCCAGTGGTTTCATCTGCATTTAATTAAGGTTTTGATGCTGGGATATTGATACTCATGTTATCTCTTCTGCGTTGTTTAATAATTTTTATGGAAGTATTTTAGGTCCCTCCGAGGGGTGCTGGAGGACAGCAGGGGTAGGAATTGTGTGTTCCTCCAGGTGGGGTTGAACTATAACTCTTAGCAGCCCCAGCCAATACAACTGATGTGAGGAATGACACAATGATGAAAAGTTGCAGTTCCACACTTGGAGGGTTGCAGTTTCTGCCCTTCAACTACAGCGTTGACCACCCTCAGTCAACAGAGTGACCAGACGCCCTCCTTTGCCATGACATCTCCTACATTTCAACCTTTGTCCAGGAGGAATTTAAAAATGCCTTCCATTTTGAGCATGACTAAGAAGCAAGAATTAACATTTATAGAGGTAGTGCTTTTAGCTTTTATTTTGTAATGGCCTACGTTTATCTCCAACGTTCCTTTGCAGTTATGACATTTTGGTCACCCTGCCAGTCAAGGATTAGAGAAAAGAAAAGCATGCTGCTGCAGCAACAGCAGCTAAAGATTTTTAAAGAGAAAACACACATATAGTCTTGCTACTGTGACTAAGAGGAGAGGTCTTTTAAATAGCTTACATGGGTGGAGTCTTGCTGAAGAGGAAAGCGAAAGGGATCGTAACATTTTTAGATGCACATGCAAACTTTAATAGCCCATTTCCACCGCAGCCATAACACCCAGAATGCTCACAGCCCTTGGAGCATGGCTGCCCCCAAATCTGCAATGTCTGATGCTCTGGGGAAAGAGAGAGGGAAGATGAGAGGCTGAGGAAGTGAAGCGATACCAAAGTGTGCTGCATCTGTCTGTCTGGCTCTTCTTCGGCAACCACAAACCCAACAGAAACTGTGGCAGGAAGTGGCAAAACACAGATGGCGGAGGGGGAAGTGAAGGAATCCAGACTGTAAGGGCAAAGGCCAGCTTCGGCTGCAGCCGTAAGTTTCCATTCCTTATGGGAGAAGGAAAAAATGGTGAACACAGTCACAATCTTTAATCTGGTGAGACTCCTCCTGGGTCTTTAGCAACAGCTCTAATACAGGCAGAAATGGCTTGTGTAACATTTCACCCATTGCACTGCACAGCAAGCCCCTGAGCTACCAAAAAAGAAAGAAAGGAGGAGGAGACAAAGAAAATTGCAAATGCCACAAATTCCACCAATATTGGCTTGGCTTACTTTGTTGTCATTGTTTTGCAGAGTGGTGACTAACTCCAGGATAGCTATATTGCTGTTAACTGCAGTCAAGTTGGCTTGGACTTAACAGCAACCCTACAAGTAAGAGACCTCAAAGGATTAATCTGCACTGCAGAAGTACTGCACCGCTTTAACTGCCATGGCTCCATGCTATGGAATCCTGGGAATGGTAGTTTTGCGAGACATTGAGCCTTCTCTGTCGGAGAGCTCTGGTGCCACGACAAACTACAACTCCCAGGATAGCTCAAGACCTGCAAACTCAAGGCTTTGTCTTCCTTGATCGGGTTAATCCACCTGTAATTTGGTCCTCCTGTTTTCCTACTGCATCCCATTTTATTGTTGTCTTTTCTAATGAACATCTTGTCTCATGATACAGCCAAAGCACAACAGCCTCAGTCTCCTCATTTTGCCTTTTAGGGGGATTTCAGGCTAGATTTGCTCTGGGATCCATTTAATAGTAATTGTCACAATCCGTTGTATTCACAAGACTCTCTTCCAACATCACATTCCAAATGAGTTGGTTTTCATCTAGTCAACTTTCTTCATCATTCCGCCTTCACAACCATATACAGAAATCAGAAATAATAGCCAGCTGTTCTTTGTATTTGCCACTAAACCCCTTCATCTACACCAGGGACCAGCAACCTACGGCCCAGGGGCCGGTTAAGGCCCCAGGCCCCGGACTTATCGGCCCAGGCCAAAGGTTGCCGGCGCCTCCGCGTGCTGCCGGGGCACGTTTTTGCTGCTCTGCGGCCGCGCTCACTGCGATCGCCATTTTGAAAATCAAAATGG